TTTTTGGGAACTAAACTTCCATGTTCTTATTTAGTTTATAAGGAGGCTTATGTAGGACATGTTTTAATTGATATCTATGTTTACCATTGCGTAATTAGAATGCTACATTATTGAGCAGGCAATGCTAAATTAAATTTAAGAGAGGAAAAACTATGATCTTAGTTTTGACTTAATCCTTCTCCCTCCACTTTGACTCTATTGATGATTTATCTTTTAGACGCGCGGGTTGAAAAGGGGTCTTATATCTGGAATGGAAATATCCTTTATCTCTAGCTATATTTGCAGTATTGTAGCTTAAAAAGACATGGTTTTTGGGGCACGCAAGTTACCTTTTGTTCGGGCGTGACTCCAACTCGTTTAAATGATAAGTGAAAGCGTCATGGTTCACACGGCCCTACTTATCAATTATTTAATTATGAGATGTTCGCTTACATAATATCTATAAAAAAATATCATGAACTACGTCAATTGTTTAATATGTAATTTTTAAAAATCAAATAAATATCGAGTATTAATAAACCACTAGTTAATTGTATTTAACATTGTTGGAGGGTTTCAAAATACTAAATGATATTTTCTGAATTAATTAAAAAAAAAAGTTGGAAAGCAACCTCGAGTGTCACGGTCAGTTCAGGATTGCCAAGAAGTGAGAAATGTTATTTGTAAAATTAGATTGCAGTGCAATAAATGTCATAATTAAGAGAGGGAGAGAAAGAAAGAAAAGTGAGAAGATTTTGAGATATAATAAATAATATAAAAGAAGAGGTTAATGAAAAAAACAATATGTTATATAAGTTATTGTATGAGTTGTATGAGTATCACAAATTTATTTATTTATTTGTAGCTGAAGGAAAGTTTGAAAAAAAAAAAGGAGAAAAATATAGGTGAACTTGGGACCAGGTTGGTGAAGAAGCAGTACAGTAGAAGTTAAGATAAGGGTAGTTGGTAGTGTAAGCATAGTGTGGCTTTTCTCGTTAATATATTAATTTCGTACTCTTCAATTAATTGTTGAGGACGAAAGAAGATATAAGTCAAAAAAAGAAAAATCTTATCACAAATATCTTCCAGTTTATTAGATAGTATTGGAATTTTTATTAACGGAACAAATTTTAACATACAACAGTAATCAAACAAGAATTATACTAAATAAATAACTCAATTTGCTTTCATACACGTATTAAAGATATAAGACTTAGTTGAAATTATTTAGTTGAATAAAATAAAACAGAAATTTGGATGGAGTTGGATTTCAAACATGTCAACTACTGCATTGGAATTTATATTTAGGTTTTCGTCCTAAATTTTTGACGGTCATTTCTGCATCTTGGAATCAATGACTTGGCACAAATTAAAGGTCTGTTAATATTTATCTTATTCCATATATACGGCCATTTTCTATTTTTTGTTAATTAATTATATGTTTTTCCATATTAATTTTGGAATTTTGTAACTTTTTCACATCCTAAGACGATTTGGTTAGAAAAACTTCTAAAAAAGATTAAAGGTTGCATACATAAAAATATATTTAGTTTGAGAAAAAATAATTTATTTTTTAAAAATCTCATATTATTTTTTATTTTCATAAATTTATATAAGAAACTTATACTGAATTTTTTAGTGTTTTCATATTTTTTAATTAAGTTTTAATAAATTGAAAAATAAGATAATATTTTTATAATTATAAATGAAATAAAAAAAATTTAAAAATTAAATAAAACAAGTCTGATGCACATTTGTTCTAGTCTTTTCATATTTTTTAATTGAACGAAATAAGATTTTTTTTAATCAAGAATTCAAGTGTATAGGTTCTATTGGAATAATTTTTCCATGAATACTTATATGTGATGAAATGAAGATAAAAATAAAATAATTTAATCTCATAAGCTAAAATTAATTAACTTATATATAAGTTAAAATCATTGTTTTTATTTAAAAAAAAAACTAAATAATTTTAGCCTATTTATATCGCATACCTATCGAGCTAGTTTTCCTTTTTCTAGATGAATTTTATGTTATGGGAGTAAGTAGATGTTATAGTAATTAGAGTTTCTTTATTCTTTTTTCTTAACTCCAAAAGAATTTTAAAAACTTGGTTGTTGGGGAGGGGTGGAGGCTGAATTTTGCTTCAACATATGGGTTCGAGTCAATGGATTCGGGATCCAAGCAATTGAGACTATGAATTGGAGTGAGCATAGTGTTGTGTGGTGTCATCGAAAAGCTTATTCTCCTTCGTTCTTGGTGAGTTCAAAATCGAGGTAAGTTGATCTTGGTGGATGGTTGCATGGATTTTCATGTTACATGTATGGTATGAATGCTCATTTGATGCATAATTATTTGAATGTTAAATTGGTATGCAATGAGAGACTTGGTATTTTTAGTTTCTTGGAGATTTTTTTAGGTATTTGGAGATTTTGGGAGAAAATCTTGATTTTGTATCAAATTCTTCTTATAAGTTGTTTTATCGTTGGAATTTATGTATTCTTGTTATTTAGATGAGTTTTTATGGTTTATATTTGAGTTTGGAGCTTATAGATAAGCTTGGGATAAAATAAAGAGGTTTGGAAACCCCAAAATCACAAAACTGAGATGGTTTCTCTCATGAAACGGTTGAGAGATTTTGAAACAACTGAGCAAAATTAAAGATGAGAATTAGGGGTGTCTCTAGAAGGAAACGGTTGAGTAGTTTTGAAATGTTTGAGCAAAATTAGAGATGTCTTTTGAAGAAAATGACTGAGAAAAATTAAAGATGAGAATCAGGGGTGTTTTGGGAAGGAATTCACTAAGCGATTTTGAAATAGTTGATCAAATTAGTGATTTTCGAGTTAGACTTTATTGTCTTCATAAAAGTTGTAGCCCTGAATATTAACTTTCAAATGGCATTGGAATCACCTAAAAATAAGGTTTATAACTTAAGTTATGACCTTTTTAATATGTGAAGGTCAAACTGTCAACATTAATAAAAAAAATGTTATGGTTTTAATAATTTTTAGTATAGTATATGGTGGAATTAGAATTTAAGGTCTCTATAGGAGTTGTAGATAATATTTTTGCCTTTCATATGAGATATGGATGAGCTTGATACGAGTAGTATAACTTTCTGTGTGATATTTTATGTGAAAGTTGTCATTGTATGATAACTGATTTTGATAAATTGTATGTTGATACATGTTGCACGACAGGTAAATTTGGCAAATACGAGTAGATGTATGATTTATATATTACATGTTGTATGAAGAATGTAGTTCTATGTATGTTGATTGGATGTGACATATGTAGATGTTTGTATAGTGTTGGATGATGATGAAACTATGTATGACATGTATATATATGTATGATGTTGTTGATCTCTATATGCATTAACTGAATGTGAAGTATATAAATGATGTGTGGTGAGGTATGAATGTTGAGAATGCAATATGATATTAAGACATGTTGGCCAACTTAGGACTTGAGGATAGAAAATTATTTTTGGAAATTGAAGATCCCACCTAGGGAATCTTAGAGTGATACTCGGATAGGCAACTATTAGAATATCTTCCTTTAGTTGGTGTATCTCTTAGAGTGGATTTTGAGGTGTGTTGATGTCTCCTCTAGTTCCTTAGTTAATGGTTGAGTAAGGTAGGAGGTCAATGGCTACAACCTTTAACTAAGCACCTGGTAACGTTGCATTGTTCCTTAATGATGGTTAGCGCAAGTGACAAAACCTGAGAAACTAGAGGAAGGATTATTATCCTATTTTGTTGTGACCGAGTTAACACTTTGAGTGTAAAAACAATTGTGTTGGTTCAGTAAGATGAAATCACTTAGAGTACTCATATTGTTAAGAGATTTCCGTAAATGAATGTGTGACAACGTATTAGTTGAGGTATGTGTATTAGATGAATATCTCATTGTATATATGACCTGGTGTGTAACTTTTAACATGTTGGTGCTCTGTTGTTTAGTGAATGTTGTAAACCATTAGGTGTGTTTTTGGTTGGTTTATATGCTAGATAGTAGTATAGATATTCTTTATTATACTGATATGTTTTTTTAAATATAGTTGATCCTTATGTGCTGTCCATGTGGTTTGAACTGTGATAATCATGATCTTCATAGTAGGACAGGGTTAACCAGAGCAGACTTCTAAGAGATGTTGCTAGACCATTTTGGCAATGTATTATTGTCTTGGATTGCTTTTGATGATTTATATAGTAGTGTTCGATCGACACTTAGGATCCCGTATTATTTTATATTGGATGATTGTACATATATTATATATATTTATGGAGTTGTTCTTAATTGCGCATGTACTTATATACATGTCATAGTATGCATATCCATATAAAAGTGACTATAAAATGTTAAGCATGTGAGTAGTTTTGCTTCTAGTTAGTGATTCCATGAAGTGTAGTGACTTTTCAAAAATTTGATTTTTATAATTTAGTTTTAGTTTATGAGAAAAACTTATTTTATACTTTATTTTCTTCTAAAAATGTTTAAAGAGAAATTTATTTAAACATATCTTAATCAATAAGTATGAAATAAATTTATATGGAAAATGTTATTTGCAAAGCTAATTGTAAAATAAAAAGAGATAAAAAAAGAACGATGAAAAAAAAATATGAAATATAATTGATAACGTGATAAAGAAAATATTATTATATAAATTATTGTAAATATCATTATATAAATAACAACTCAATCTATATTACATCGAAGGTTAGCAAGGTATAAAAAAAAAAAAAAAAACAGTTTGGCAGGCTCCTTCAGCTCATAACCGAGTTAGGGCTTCGAATTTTTCACATTGGGCCCAAACCCAAACTCAACATAGTGCATGATCCATATTTGAAGTAATAGTGTATAAATAATGTAAATAATTTGTAATCTCATTAAAAAGCATAAAAAAAAAATCATGATTGACTCAAATTTTGTATATAATCGTGTATTGTGACTCTTGTCCTGATATAAATTTTAATTACAATATATAATTTTATCTCATATTCCAAACTTTCATCCATATTTTTGAGAAAAAAAATAAAATAGACCTGTGGTAAGATGAATTTGATAAGCAAGTAGTGAAAGCAACTAAACTCCTCCCAGGAAATGGAGACTTTGACAGTTGAACCTGTCAATAGCCAACCTTTGATGCCATTTCCATTTTCTACCTTTTTCTTTCATTCATAACAGATAACACTAACTTTCTCTCTCTTTACTTAATGATGGATTCTTCTCCTCTTATCCCTCCACCACCCCACGCCGAGATCGACCTCGAAGCCGCTTCCGCCGAACAAATTCAATGCCGCATTTGTCTTGAATCTGATGGTATTTTTGCATTCTTCTCTTTTTCTTTTTTTCCCTCTTTCAGATTAGGGCTTCCATCACCTGTTTTCAGTTAGGGCTGCAATTACCATCTACCTATTTTAATTTTAATTTTACCTCCCTCAGGTAGGGATTTCATAGCTCCTTGCAAGTGCAAAGGTACATCAAAGTATGTACATCGAGAGTGTTTGGATCATTGGCGAGCGGTTAAGGTAAGGATTTTGTCTCCTTAATTCTCAGCACAGTGTTATACTGTAGCCTTATCAAGAAATATTCTATTTCCAGCGAGCATTGTGTAACAACTATGGGATTTTTAAGTGTATGAATTTCATTGCTAGAGGGTGGACAATTGCCTATATATAATGTATCGTGACAATGCTTGTTGTTATTAGAAATGATAACCGTAAATTTGGATTATTTTTATTAGATTATATTTAAATGATCAAGATTAAAAGATAAATTGGCCTGACTTTTTTAAATAGTCATGTAACTACTGATTGACTTTTAACTTTGACCATCCATATGTGATTATATGACACAAATTTATAGTTCACATTTATCACAATAACTAAGAGTTCTCACTTGATGCGCCCTATAGACACTCACAAGCATATAAATGACTATCCATGGATATTGAATAGGTTTAATACGTCAGTGGTCTTCTACAATTTTTGTACTGAATCTTTGGAATGAGTAAAATCACCACAAATTGTTATTTTTCTGGCAGCTACAAACAGCCACAAAATGACTTCAGGATCCCGTAACAAAAATTGTTGATGATCAAGGAGTCAATAACATTTTTTTAGTTCAGGAACCTAATTAAAAATTCTCAAAGTTTTGAGACCTATTGATATATTAATCATTTAAACCTATATAATATATGAGCTATCTTTTACTAATATTTCTATGGGCAGAATGGTGCTCTTTCCATTGCTTGACCTCATAAATAAATGAAAATTACTGAATATTGTTGCAGGAAGGGTTTGCATTTGCTCACTGCACTACCTGCAAGGCTCCATATCATTTGCGCATTCATGGTGCTGCTGATAGAAGATGGCGTACTTTGAAATTTCGTTTTTTTGTAACCAGAGACATTTTGTTTATATTTCTAGCTGTACAGCTTGTAAGTAAATTGTTTCCATTCTCCTAGCAATATAAATGCTTATCCATATATATAATTAATGAATTGCATGTAGATGTTCTAATTCTACATGGCAACCCCTTATTTCCTTTGTCTGCAGGTTGTTGCTTCACTGGCTTATTTGGTTTATCGAATAGATGGTTATCAGCAGTATTGGCTTCGTCTGGTTTGGGGTTTTGATAGTGAGCTAAGCTTTTATTATATTTGTGGTAAATTACTATGGACTTGATTCTTGAGCAGTAGTCGTCAGAATGCTTATAGCAAGTATTAGTATTACTGTTAATTTTTTTGTTAGGAGGTATTGATGGCAAATTCTAGTTGTGTTTAATTTCTTTTGTTCCCAGTTTGCTTTATCCATACATAGGATGATGCTAGCTTTGTTATTAATTTCATTTTGGTATTGTCAAATGTAGGAGCGCTGCTGTTTTTTGTGTTTCTTGGCCTGTCTGGGTGCTTTGTTACTTGTTATGATCGAAGAGTTCGCAATGATTTGGCTCAGCCTTGTCGAGAAATATGTCTTTGTTGCTGTCAACCTGGGTAATAATTCTGCTTTCAAATATTCATGAGCCTTTGACACTGTTAAAACACTTAACTCATATGTCACCACAACTACTTGAGCCTCGAAGCATCATATATTTTAATTTTTTTTAAATACATTTTACGATGCCAGAAACTAAGTTTGGAGAGTAATATATGAGATTTAATTTCCTCCATTATATTGGAAATCCTACTTTGCACAAAGAAGGAACACTTGCAAATTTCACCTTTTCCAAAAAATTAAGAATATAGCTCTGATTGTTATATTATAGAAAGTATGGTGTTTCATGTTATATTTGAAGTATACGTCAGCAGCAAGTCTGTGATCCACAATGGTAGTGACTGAGGTGGTTTTGTTTTGTTTGTTGTCATTGCAGAGTCTGTGCTGACTGTCATTTACCAGGTACTCTTTGTATATGGACAGATTGCACTGCGTGCTTTGAGAGTTGTGGAAGCATGGCAACTGAATGTAGTGGTTGCTTGGGAGGTGCTGGGGAAGCAGGGCTACCATTATTATTCATAATGGCTTTGATTTTTCTGGTGCTCTTTACTGTAATTGGGATATTTTACAGTGTATTGGTGGCTACAATGGTAGGACAACGGATATGGCAGCGTCATTATCACATACTTGCTAAAAGGATGCTTACAAAGGTGCCTATCCCTCAACTTTTGTCCTTTGTGCATTTGGTAGTGTAATGAACTTTCAATTATTGATTCACTGTAGCTGTTGAGTCAACTTAAATACCTTATATATGCAATTAGCCTATTTTTGCTTATTCTATTTAGAAACTTATCAAGATATTGCTGCAAGATTTAGTGAGAAGGTTTTCTGTTTGTTTTGCCTTTAAATCCAATATAATATATGTTTGCGAACATACTTATTATTATGGGCATATGCCCTATTTCTTTCTTCTGAGTTCTGATTTAGTTGACTCATTTAGACTGTCTAGTGTCAGAGCATTATTAACTAAAAGTATTGTTTTCTGATGGTTCATGAGAAATTAAATGTATTTTGGATTTGGTGACTAGCTTTGATGAGTCTCAGGAGGCACAGTACTGCAGCAATTAAGTCATGGCCCCAAGATATGAAAGTATATTCAGGAAAAGGGAAAAGTGGTAGGGGCGGAGACTGTTAAGCTAAGTCGAAATTGAGTGGGACCCAGAAGTAATGGAGGATGGGAGGTAGTTATGAAGAGTGCAAGAACGTGACTGAGGGAGTGGGGAGCAATTAGTTTATGGGAATGGGCCTTAGACTTGGGCAGGAAGTTGGCATCCATCTGCTGCATCTTGCGATCGTGTTCGTTTGTCTCTTTTGAATATTCTGCTTGATTTCATTTTCTACTGATATACTTTGTTTTTCGCAATTTAAGTTCAGTATAATCAATAATGTCCTTTATATATCACTACCTTTTGTGATCAAGCTTATACTGAATATCATGGGACTTCAGTCAGTGTTGCTGTTTTGATCGACTTAAATATAATTTTGCAGTCTAATTGATATTAAGTGATCAACTGTTTGTCTTCTTTTTCCCTCCACTGTGTGTAGTGCAATATATCTAGCACCCTGAAACCTAATACCAACAATGCAAACCCTTCATCACTAGCCTACACCTAGTGGTTTTTAATATCAATATTCCCATGAGGAAGTAATGTGCATGCTTGATAGGTACTTAAACTGTACTCTTGAATATTCAACCATCATATTGAACTATTGATTATGAAACTGTTTGCGTATCATAGGAGTATGTCGTTGAGGACATTGATGGAGAGATAACAGGGTCTGATTGGTCTCCTCCATCCCTCCCACCGGAGCATGTACAGCAGCTGAAAACATTGGGCCTCCTTTGAGTTTGAAGGAGTCATCTACCTTCCAAGGAGAAAGACAGTAGAGGTAAGACTGAAACCTTACTTGATAGTTGGTAGTTTGGTCCTTTTCAGGGAAATATGAAGTTAATTGATAAAATTCCTGAGCCACTCAAGTGACTCAGCTCCATTAGTTTTGACTTATATAATTGTTCTAGTACGGGGAAATTTGTGAATTTCTATTGTGTCTACAGATATGTAAAGGAATGGAAGGGAATTCTTCGGACATATCTAACTACAGATATACACAGTTCAAGATCTTGATATGTTTAATATTTGCATTAATTATCCGTTCTATGCGCAGGATTTTCTCTAAAAATTAGTCATTTACTTTTTATTAATTTTATTTTGCTACAAATTTTAACACAATTTATCGTTTGATATCTGTATGTTATGTTATTATTGAACATAAAATACTAGCATTTATAATTATTTTAGAGTTTAAATATTTTTTTAGTTTCTGAAAATATAGTGCCTTTTGAAATTAGTCCCTCTTCATTTTTTTTTAACTTTTATTTCTGACATTTACCATAAAATAGTATATTTTTTAGCCCTCATTAGGATGTTTGAAGGAAAAAAGTAAACGTTTGTTACATTTCTTAACAACTGCAAATGAATTTTTTTAAAGATAAATTAATTCTAAAAATCATATTTTCAAGGTTAAAATACATTTTTAGTTCCTATAGTCTTACTGACTTTTACTTTTTAGTCTATATAGTTTTAAATAAAAATGATTAATTCTTATATTTAAATTTTTATAATCCTTTTTAGTACCTATCATTAATTTTTTTTATAACGTTTTTGTGTTTTTGTGTAAATAATGCAAACTTATTAAATTTATATAACGATGATGTATTTAGGTTTTTGTACGACGGTGTATCATTTAATGATTTGAAGAAAATATTGTTTAAATTTCTTTATTTTTTTTAGTTTTACAAATTTTGCAATCAGTATAAAGAAAATATTTTAATATTTCTATTGTTTTTCAACAAAATCATAAAGTTATAATTTTTTAATACATGATTATAAATAATGTTCAAAAAAATTCAGCTATAGATAAAATATTGTTCAATTTATTTTGTTATATTAGATCAGTTGGAAAAGAAAGATCAAATAAGAACTGAAGAATGGAAGCATTTTTTTTTAAGATATGTTTTGAAAACCAAACTTTAATTTAACCTGCTCTCATGCAGTTCTAAAATGAAAGCCAGAAAATCTATTGTTAGAAAATGTTTTTATTTTTTGAGAAATAGTAAAAAATAATATTAGAAAATAAGAGTTGTCTTTAGTATTTCTTATATTAGTAAGATAATATCTTTGTAATTAAAGAAAAAAACTTTTTGAGATAAAACATTTATTTCCTTTCATTTATGTTGGTTCTACTCACCAATCGTTGGCCCTACCACTGCCTGTTTCTGAAGCTATTGCTCGTTGGTAAATGTCTTCATTGGCAATTGCCCCTTCACTTTGAGGAAGTTAGAAGTTAAAGATCTAGATACAGAAGTGTCACGAGGGCATTGCGCAACTTATTTTATTTAACTGGATCACAATAAATTAATACATTTTTTTATACTCAAATTATGTAACATTTATTTTTGCTTCCTAAACATGTTCAAGAAATATTATCCATAATTTAATGCTACGTATATTACTGTTTATAAATTTGGATAATAAGATCCAAATTGGGAAGTTGAGTGTTGACTCAGAAGGAATGATAGCGTTAATTAATAATTTTATGGTTTAATTATCCTAGTTTATATAGTTTTATAAATTTTACATTTTAATCACTATAATTAATAAGTTCAATTTTAGTCTTAATATATTAATTATTTTTTATTTCTTTTAATTCTCGTCTATTTTTTTTTATAGAGATTAGAAATTAAATTTATGCAATTATAAAGATTAAAAGGAAACTAAAATTATATGCATAAAGATTAAGATAAAATAATTTTAATTATTAGAGTTGAAAGATAAAGGCCGTGAAGTTATAGAAACTAAAATGGTAATTAAATGTAATTTTATTTACTTACCGTATCAAAATAGAATTGAATGAACCTCCAATAATAGAATTGAATTGTGACAATCTTCTCGTGCTTTTTCCCCCACAAAATTTTCACAATAATAATTCTTCAAAGAAAAATAAAAGTTATGAGTGCATAATATTGGGGAAATTTATTAGTTTGTTTGACTATTTTACAAGATAATTTGATCGAATTATACTTGTTTAATGCGTAAATTTATTTTGGTAGTTAATTTTTGGTTTATTTTCATAAGTTATCTCGATTGATTTATAAAAGTAAGCAAGCTTATAAATAATTAATTTTTAAGTGTTTAAATTAAAGATATTTTTTTGAAAACAAATTTTGAGTTAGTTTTCACAACAAATTATATAATAATAAATATAACATGTAGTAAAGTAAATGGAGTAAGTAAGAGGATAAAGTTAGTGAGATTCCATAAAGTTTTATATTAATTCATCTTAATTGGGGAAATTTTCACTGTTACATCTAACTGTTGTTCAAGAAACAACTTAGTCACATGTAGATATAATCACACCACTATACGACCACCTACTTAGCCACTTGCTAAGATACTCAACCTCATAACCACTTGCTATGAGATCACATAACCACTATTTGTGATTTCTTTCTTTTTTTTCCCACACCTTTGTAACTCAAATCTACATAGGAAATACTCTTTACAGAAATAAGTTTTTGTATCCCAACACTTTGCTAAGGTTACAACAAACTCTCCTAAGTTGGAGCTTCCCCTAAGGAAGATTCACATTTTGTTTTTCTATTACAAGATTGATATAAATGCATAAGTGGAGTACTTTGAGTAAATAAGAGTATGAAGCAATAATTGCAACTTTGATAGCTTGTGTTTTGAGTACTCTCTTTGATCTTCTTTGCTTTTAAAACTATAGTCTTGATCTTCCTTTTATAGCCACTAAAATAAGTTCGTTATGGGTTGCTCGATTTTTAAGCAACGTTAATCTCATTGTACTTTCCTTTTTTGGCAGTAACAACTTTTTCTTCATATGATATTACTTATTGAGCATACCTTCTTTTCAAACCTTTTGAGTAAAGTATTTGGTATATGTTTTATGAAAAACTATGTTTTAATGGAAAACTTTTGATATATGGTTCAAAGTGTATGTCTTATGAGTCAAGTCTTCAAGACATTTGTCTTGAGAATAAATGTTTTAACTTAAGCCTTTTTGAATAGAGACACATGGTGCTCAAGATTTAACCATAACTATCATGTTTTGTATTCTTACTTGTATTGAAACCTTATTTTTTTACATGAAAAAAAGGTTAAGGTATGAGAAAAATTACACTGGATCGTAAAATGACTCGTTATATTTTTTAACAAAAAAGACCAAGAATCTTTACTTAGATTAACATTTTGAGAAAACTACAAGAAATTTTATAAATAAAAGGATGAAACTTTCTTGTAAAATGTGTTAAGGTATGCTAATAGATTGTAAATATGAATGATGAAGAAAAAAATTGATAGGTGAATAAAGAGATGATAGGTAAGGTGAATCTAAAAGGGAGAAGAGTGAAAAAAAGGTTTGGAGATGTAGATATAGATAAGTTGATTCTAAATTTGAATTTGAATGTACAATTATATTAAAAATATTAAAACAACTATCATTTCACTATTATATATATTTTTAATTATTTTTTAATTTTTCTATGAAAATTAAATTGTATTTAATTGATGTAATTCAATTTATTAAAAATTAATAAATTTATTTTATCATTAATAAAAATGTTTAAATTTTAAAAGGCTAAAATATTTTAGAAAATCAAGGGGTCCAAACTTAGTAGTCTTAAATAAGAAAAAAACTTTAAAAGAGTATTCTATCTTTAATAATATATAGATAGATATGTAAATATAGATAAATCATTCTAAATTTGAATTTAGATATTCTCAATTAATTTAAAAAAGTAGGAAACAATTATATACGATATATTCACAAAAGTTTATTGTTTGATTCATTAAACTAAAAATTAAAATTGATAAAACATAAAACAAGTGCTGAACATGAAAATAAGTAATAGAATTTCAAATATGAGATACTTGTAACTGAATTTTACCAACTATACCTTCTTATAATTTTAATAGAAATTAATCTCTCTCTTACAATATTATCAAGGATTAGAGTCACTCAAAATTATTAAGAACAGAAATAGATCAGTAATATGTAAAAAAAATCATAACATATATATGAAAATTAAAAATTACATCAACTTGCAATAATTACATTACCTATTATACAACACATCCAATCTAAAAAAAAAAAAGGTTAACTACCTATTTCCATAAGAGTCAACCATAATGAAAAGAAAAAAGAAAAGAAAAACAAAAATATCTAAGTGTGAGAGAGAAAGTATAATAATTTTTTAATTCAATATATTTTCTCATATAACAAGGTAGAAATTTCGAAAGAATTTTGTTCGTCAAAAATGAAATTTTGACACTGTAAAAGAACAATTTCATCCAACCACACAAATTTTGTCAGCCAAATATTCTTTGATGAAAATTTATTAAATACTAATAAATTTATTTTATAATTAATAGAAAATGTTTAAATTTTAAAAGACTAAAAAAATTTAAATAAAAAGAACTCGATCTATTTAATTTTGAGGTGAATTTTTTTTAAAAAAAAATATTATATAGATATAGATAATTTTTCTGACGTATGAAGCTAGTGACTGATGAAAGAGACTCGGGCATGTCACATGTGCACGTTGGAGAATATTTTTTTTATTAAAGTAGCACCGTCAGAAATTACAAGTACCAAATTAGCACCCCAATTGTTTTCCATTTACGTGATTGCCACCCTCACCCTTTCCTCTGTA